GGAAATCTGGACCCAAACGTGAACCAAAATTGAAGTTGCAGTTTAACCAGGGGGCGCGCTTACGCAAAACAAAAGAGTATATACAGTATTTAATTGAGAAGGCTATGTAAATACGAAAACCCAAAAATAAAAATTGACTTTTCCCCCTCTTTTCAGAGTTTTTAGTTCCCCACCGACGTCAGTGGTGTTTTATATTATATATAAATAGTCTACTATTTATTCATTTATTTTTATGATTTGTTTTTTTTAAACAAAACAAAAATATATTTATATAAATATAAATAGACAAGTAAAAATTATGTAGCCTTCTATTTAAGTAAACACTGTCCAAATTTTTACTCTATTTCTGAAAAACACAGATAAATATTTAGAGTCGGGAATTAGTCGTGTCACTCTCGTATTTATTTAGACTCGTAGACTCGTAGTCATCAATTCATCATGTGACGTGGCCCTATTGTTAAAAAAATATTTGTATTTTTATTGTGTAAAATCATGAAAAAGATATATGTAGTAAATACGAATGTCTTTATACGGCACTGAAGACAATACAATTATTAACCACCTCAGGCCCAGTTTCCTACCAGTCTCATACTTGTACTTTTCCCGAGTTTACTTTGTTTTCTAAAAAATGTAATTAGCGTGATTTTAGTCCATGTTTTGCACTTGTATTAGTTCTTTGTCGGCCTTCATCAGAGGAGAGGTCGACGTATGTTAGACACGAATAGTGTCAACTAAAACCATGAGCGAATCCGAAGCAATAGCTAAGATGCCTATATACATGTGTCTAACTGCTAACATATGTCAAGCCCTTAAGACTGACAAAGACCTAACATAAATGCAACAAATGGGTTGTATCCGCGCTACAATATCCAACATTTAAGTCGAGCGCTTTCAGCCAACAGATGACAAACAACCCGGCAGAAAACAAACACCTCTCACAAGTGCGGTCTTACATTATTTACACCTATATTTAAGTAAATTAAACTCGAAAAAGTAGAAGTATGAGACTGGTAGGAAACTGGACCTGAGGTGGTTAAAAAAATTATTGTCACCAGTAAAAAACACTAGAGTAAATAGTACAATAGTTGTTGTACTTATATTTTTGTACTATTTTTTTTTGGTTTTGTTTTATTTTAAAAAACAAAAGTCTACGAATTGGTTTTTTCAAAACAAATAAATATATTTACAAATATTGCGTTGCCTTCTAAAAATTGAACAAGTCGCAGAAATCGTATCTTTTTTTTTAAACAAAAACAAAGGGTGCACTTTTTGGAGATGTATATCTTTTTTTAGTTTAAGGTTTTTGTACCAACATCCGATTCCGATGCTGTAGTTTTTGAACATATAATCCAATCTATGATACGATTTTAATTCGAATCAGTGCTCTTTAAAATTTCAGGCAAATCGGTTGGTTGGTTCAGGAGATAGGAATTGGCCCTAAAAGCATAGGTAGCGAATGTAGGTGGCTCCTACAATGGTGGTAAATTTAGGTGGCTCTATCTGTAGGTAGCGATTTAGGTGGCTCTTACAGTGGTGGCGTCAAGATTTCTCCAATTATTTACACTCTTTTGTATTTTTGAAAAAGGAGTTGCACCTAACTAAAAAAGAAAAATGTCTAGAACTGTCAAGACTCAAGTAGTGACTACAAAAACAGCTCAAACGAGTTTTAACTCTCAACAAGAGAGTCATCAACTCATCACTCATCACTTATCAGTCTCTTTCTCCTTTCTCTCTCTCTCTCTCTTGTTGTGGTGTTGTTGTGTAAACTGTACTCTTTTAAAACAGAGAATGTGTTGTGGACTTGTGGGTGTGTTTGAGTTGCGAGCAGAGTGAAATCGAGAAAGAGTTGATTTTACTGTCAAAATAAAAAGAGTAGATAACCTGCTTTCACACAAGCTGACGCCTGACAGCCTGACACAAGAGACGAGAGATAAGAGTGACAAATGACAACAGACACATTTACGTACAACAGTATCAGGAGTTCAGGATTCAGGAATTCAGGATTCAGGAATTCAGGATTCAGGATTCAGGTATTTTAGAAGGAAAAATGACAGAGTGTATGTATTTAATTTTTTAATCTAAAAAACCCCCAAACAAAAATATTCCAACTTGATCTTTTGTTTTTTGTTTTTTGCTTTTTAACGAAAACACCAAACAAGAAAAATACCAACTTTCGAAGAAAAGAATTCTATGTAAATACACAGTCAAACCTCTTTTTTTGTCCAACAGTCCTAAATTTGGCCAAGAAAATAGGTGGACAGATTTAGGATTGGATGCCTGGGACCCTAGGCCCTGGGATCCTGGGGACCATATAGCTCTGTCTCACTCAGAGAGAGTAGTCAATAGAGGTACATACCAGGGTTGTTAAACGGACAAATGGACTAAACTGTCCAGGGAAAATAGGCTGTCCATAGTATTATGACCTTTTTTTAGGCTGTCCATGTGTCCCATTCGAAAAAGACCTGTTGTCCACTGGTAAATTGAGAATCGCCTGGTGCAAATTGACACAAACCATTTATCCATTTCAAGATTGATGTCTGTCCGTTTGTTTGGTCCATATAATGCCCTTTGTCCGGCTGTCCGTAAATGCAAATGGTTGTCCGGACAGGACTTTTCTTGTCCGTTTTTAAAACAACCCTGGTACATACTACACAATACTGGTGGTATAGTAACGTAAATATTTACATAAATACGAATACTGTATATCAAATGCTTCATTTGTTATTTTTGTTTTTAAAAAATTGGTATATATATAATATAAAACAATAAATTAAAAAAACGTCCGTTGCTCGCCCTTTGGCTCAGTTGTTGGTACTAAAAGCATTTATAACTTTTAGTGGGCAATATCGCCGACTACTAAATATATCCCGTACCCAGATTTCCAGAACCACACCACAGAATACATGCATTGGATGCTCGCACGCAACAGGCGAGTATTACCTCTATTTTTTTATAACAATCCAAAACAATATATTTCTACATTTT